TCCCTCTATAAAATGGCATAGCATTTGCATATAACCTCTGCATGTCCTCCTGTGTGCTTTAAACCATCCCTGGGTTACTTATCATACCCAGTACTAAGTAAATGCTATATAAATAGTTATCTTTTTTTGTTTAGAGAATAATGACAGGGGAAAAAATCTGTACATGTTCACTACAGATGCAACCATCATAGGCCTAACTACATATTATACAGTAACAACAATGTAAGCTTTTCGGGGGAATATTTTCTCTCCATGGTGGGTTGAATCCCGGGTGCAGAACCCATAATATGGAGGCCTCGCTGTATTCTTATTCCTGTTTACAAATGAGAAAATGAAGGCACAAGGAAATTTAGTAATTTGCTTAAGGTAATATCGCTAATAAGAAGCACAATTGGCTCAGAATCATTGTTCTTGGCCACCTACACTACCTTTGCTGCCTGTGCGGAATGATGCTGAAATAAATGGTGCCTTAAAACCTATGGGTCCCAACTGAAATGTCAAGTAAAAACTATGTTAGCCTAAACCAGTTTGGCTCAGTGGATAGAGCATCGGTCTGCGGACTGAAGGGTCCCAGGTTCGATTTCGGTCAGGGGCATGTACATTGGTTGCGGGCACATCCCTAGTGGGGGTGTGCAGGGGGCAGCTGGTCAGTATTTCTCTCTCATCTTGCTCTCTATCCCTCTCCCTTCCTCTCTGTGGAAAATCAATAAAAAAAACAAAAAAAAAAAACAAAAACCAACTATGTTACTTCGTGCAAATGGGGATTTAGGCACTAGCTTGTGAAGAACCATGGACTTGCCTCCCCCCCCCCCCATACATAAATGGCTGCTAAATGAGACACTCAACCACATGCACGAGCTTAACATTAAACATGACGTGCCTGTGACAGCTGGTGCAGGTGTCACTGAGAGAAGTGGAATAATAGTCTGAGGTTGAAGTGATTTTGAAGATCTTAAATCATGACTGACAGGTAGAAAAAGCCTTGGGAACTTGGACTGGGGGTAGAAAATCATCCACATTTCCTATTCTCTTCCTTGGAATTTAGGCGAAGTCAGGCAGACAGCCAAGTATAGAGTCAGTCCACAGCACTCACTGGCTACCTTTTCCGTGGAGTATTCTTTCCAGGGTCTTAAAGTCTCTAGTTGTGAGCGTAGAGTGAGTACTGTCCTTGTTGGAGTTTGCAAGATTGGGTTCTCAAGAAGAAAAGTGTTCTGTAAATGCCACATGCTACCAGAGAATAGGAACAGTGATTTGAAGAATGCCGAAAGCACCACTCCCAAATTCCACTCCAGCGTTTAGGGTATTTAGATGTCATATTAAATAATTCAAGTCATTTAGGGACAACTGCTTGCTGTCTAGCCAACCTCACACAGGTCCTAGTCTCCTGGGACTGTATCTGAGCCATAAGATTCTAACCAGGACTCCTCCCTTTCCCTAACTCCTGATCCGGCTGGCAAGTAAATAAAGAGAACACCAGGTGAGCATACCTGTTTACGTAAGTCACAAAGCTGTGCAAACAAACTCACTGTTCCTCAACTGGTTAAAGGGCATCTTATAAATGGGTCTTATTTCTTGTCACTTTGAATGGGCGTTACCCATCCAAAATCTTGTCCATGTTCTTTAAAAATCCTTCTCCTGAATGCTTTCCACTATTGTTTCTCCCCCTGAGTAGAAAAGGCCAAGGTCTCTCTCTTGTTTAACTCCTATATCATTTTCATCACTAAAGTTCTAAAGTAACGTGTAGGTTTTAAAATGATGAATGTAAATTTTCTCCAGTGTCCATAAACTGCCAACCAACTGAGAAATTCTGTTGTTTCCATGAAAGGGTTAAAATGGGTTCTCATTTGAAATTCACTGTGTGGCCGAAACCCCGTTTGGCTCAGTAAGTAGAGCATTGGCCTATGGACTGAAAGGTCCCGGGTTCCATTCCAGTCAAGGGCATGTACCTTGGTTGTGGGCACATCCCCAGTAGGGGGCATGCAAGAGGCAGCTGATCCATGACTCTCTGTCATCGATGTTTCTAACTCTCTATCCCTCTCTCTTCCTCTCTGTAAAAAGTCAATAAAATATATTTTTTTTAAAAGGAAAAAAAAAATTCACTGTGTGAACATATTTTTCTTTCACTTGCAGGGGCTCCCCCTTGAATCTGATAAAAGTTCTAATGCTTTTTAGGCTCCACAAACCTTTCTACTTAGGTTTTGGCAAGTTAATGAAAAGAGTGGACTCAATCACTGGCTAGAAATTGAATTTCAGTGAGAAAGAAAAAGGTGCTTATTATCTAGCAGGTTAACAAAGAGCATATTTTAGGACCTCATTATTCACTTTTAAAATGCAGAGTTCATTTGAAAACAAACAAATAAGCCACAGAAGGAAAAATAACCCAGAAAATTCTACACATTAAAAGTCAGTACTGAAGGTCACTGACTATTTTTTTGTTTTCTTTGTTCTCGTTTTCAAATACTGGATGATGGGTGTTGACCTTTAACTCGCTGTGTTCTCTGTGCCAGGGCCAAGAACAATTCACAGGTATTATTTATTTAGCTAACTTCATCAGCAGAGCTGCCAAGGCGGATCCAGGGTGGCGCCAATATAGGGTTGCAGGTCCATTAAAAAGGATAAAATCAAATATTGTGCAGAAATGACCTCATGTGTTTTCACAACCTCCATGTAAGTAGGTAAAAGGGTGATAGTACTCCTATTGTATAGATAAGGAACCTAAAGGAATAAGGAAACAAGTATATCCACCGATTTTTGAGCATCTGTAACAGGAGAGGCATGGTCCTGAGGTTTTGAACATGCATATAAATAAACTAATGTCAGTATCCTCTAAGCAGTCATAGTATAGTGGACATGGCTGACGGTGAAAAGCACAATAATAAAACACAGAACACAATGGAAGAAGAGGGGAGAGGATAACTTATAATGATCAGAAGGTTTGGAGAGGGGAGAGGGAGAGTTCTACAGACAAAGATGGTGGGATACATAAGGGGATAGTAAGAGCAAAGACAGAGATCTTATAAAGCACAAGAAATTCATGAGAATCTGTTATTTATTATGTAGGGTTTGAGGGCAGGGCAGGGTAGAAGGGAGACGAAGTGTTTAGAAGGCTTACGGATGTCCATGAATGCCAACTAGCAATGACCAGAAAAGTAGGTTGGCAGGGAAACACATATAGGAGGGCATAGCAATGGTTCAGGAAACAGGTAATGGAGCCTGAGCAGAAATAGGAGCAGAAAGAAAGATAGTGAAAGTAACAGTAGAACCTATATAATTTGGCAACTGATCGGGCACGAACCATGAAGGAGGGGGATGGGTTGAAGATGATTTTGATGCATTAATTTGAACCCGTGAACATCTGACATTTGTCTGTGCCCTTGGGCCAGACAAAACGAATTTCTACTAGATAGCTGGAAATGTGTGTCTAAAGATCAGGACAGATATTGATGAGAAATCAATCACAGGGAAATGGTTGAATTCATATGAGTGGAAGAAATCAAGAAATAAAGAGGGGGAAAAAGACAGAAAGAAAACCTTAACATACAGGGAAGAGAGGCAGTGAAGGAAGAGGAGTCACTGGTGTCTCCTAAATGGTCATTCTGAGAGGGAGGTGGATGATGCAAGGTGATAGAAACCAAGGAGGAAAAATTTCCAGACAGAGAGCTGAATGCTGCGAAGGGGATGAGTAAGCCATTTCCTGTGGTCTTAGAGATCACATCCACGCTCCTAAACGCTGCTCCTCTCCTACCCACTGAATTATCACACAAGAGTAAACAATGTGGTTTTTCAAAAGGAGCCCTTGCCTCATTTACCAGTGGTTAACCTGGGACGACGCCATCAAAAATAAATTCCAAATTCCAACCTCCTGCATGAAACTTTGTGTGCAACTCACACCATTCTCCTTACCAGAGAGTTTTTTTAGATAACTATTATTAATCAAGTATGAGGCCTCAGGAGCTCACCTTCACGCTCGTGGTATTGGGCAGTGGTTACATGCAAGGGGTTCCAGAGTCATAAGGGTGGTTGGACTCTTACCTAATCCAGCAGTGTGACAAGGGCTTGTTCCCTAACTAACTTCGCTAGTCTGAGTTTTCTCTTGCAAATTGGTTGGGAAGAGTGCACGAGAGAGAGTGCCAGTAAAACTCGCAGCATACTGCTTTCGAAGGCTCAATTCATCATTGCTGTTGTTAGTATTTTGCAATCTCCCCGAGGACAGAGGATTACTCCAACCAACACTGTTCTCTAAAAAGTGTGGCACCGAGCTAGGGACCTGGGAGCCTCATTCTGCCGGCCTTAAGGGAAACGTCATTCGCGGCCAGAGGGATAAAGAGCTGGGCAGCTGTGGGGAGGAAGGGCTGACTCCACCGAGGGAGGGGGCTGGCCATGGGGAGACAGGGAAAGCGGGATCCGAGGAACCACCCGGGACCCACGGAGGACTACAAGTCCCAGGGTGCCGCGCGCCCACCGGAGTGGACACTCCTGCAGGTGGAGTCGGGTTGCGGGACAGCCAAGAGGGGGAAGCAGTGCACGCTGGGACTGGTAGTCTTCAGGTGGCAAGTTCACTGTCCGGGGGCGGACCCAAGAGCCAGATCCCGCCTTTTGTCCACGTCTCACTACTCCGGGCCAATGCTGTCTCCTGTCCTCGGAGCCAGCCCCTCTCGTAACCGGTCCCCATTGGTCCTGGGGCTCCACGTCTGGAGCCCTACCCGGAAGTAGCGCCGGGGGAGGTGGTTTCCTAGACTACGACACCGGAAAGCTGGGGGAGGCGCTCCGGGCGGCCGAGGGAGGGCGGAGGGCGGTGGCAGCAGCGGTGGCAGCGCTGGCGCCGGAGACCGGCTCGGCGGTTTCACGGAACAGCTCGGCGGCGGCGACGGCGGCGGCCGCTCGCTCCACTCCGCATCCCGCCCTCCTCGGCACGGCTCGCAGCCCCCTCGCCGCGCGCGCCCCGCCATGTGTCCCGCGGCCCGGGCGTAGCCGCCGCGCGTGCGCGGAACCGCGGGGCCATGAGCGGAGCCGGAGGCGGCCGGGGCGGTGGGTCCCCGGCCCCCCAGCGGGCAGCGCCATGGAGCCTGGTGGCGACGACGACGACGGCCGCGCTCTGCCTGGTGACGGCCACGTCCCTGTGGACGGCGGGGGCCGCGCCCATGACTAGGGAGGAGAAGCAGAGGCTCGGGTAAGGGCGCCGGGCAGGTGGGTGGGTGGGTGGGTGGGTTTCCTCGCGGGGCGGACCCGCTGCCAGGTGCCTGTCATCGCGGCCGCCGAGCCGGCCGGCGTGCAGCGGCCTCTCCTCCGGTCGCGGTGGGGACGTCGGTGACCTGGCGAGGAGCCCGGCGGGGTGGACAGGTTCCGGGAAGGTGGGGGCCGCCGCCGCCCGCCCGGTCACCTCCGGGGACTGTCGGGGCGGCGCCGTGGCCGTCGGGGGACCGTGCGGGCTCCAGGGGGTCAGCGCGGTGGGTGGGGTCAGCGGCCCGGGCAGGGGGACAGCCCAGCGGTGGCTCCCCCCCCTCCCCCGAAAGATCATGATGAGATGTCTCACCCCAGTGCGCTCCCGCTGGGGGAACAGCGTTGCTGACCTCACAAGAAGTGAAGGAAATAATGTTGACACCTGTTACAGCGAAAGGGGGGTGGGAGGACGTTCCTTGGAACTTGAACTTGACACGTTTGCACCACCGCTGGCACCCCGTTTTCCTAAGAGAACAACAGTATGCGATGGTGTTTTGCAGAGCCCCCCCCCCCCCCCCCCCCCGATGAAGTATACCTGTTCGCTTTTACTCAGAATAGTTGTGTGTGTGTTTTTTTAAATCAGTCTCGAAAGTGGCATAAAGTTATCAGGTCTACTTTAACAGCATGTAATGCAGAGGCAATATGCCTAATACGCTTTAGGTCCCACAAGTGAATAAGGAAAAAGAAAAAAAAAAAAAAGCCAAGAACAATAGAAAATGGGCAAAAGGCTTGAAGAGTTCGTTACACGCCAGGAGAGATACAAATGGTCAATAAACGTGAAAAGGAACTTAACCTCCTACATGGGAGAGATGCCTCTGAAAGCATGGAGACGGCTGCTTTTTTATCATTAGGTTAGTAAATTCAGAACGTATGGAGAGAGCGTTGGCTAGCTCAGGTGTGAGGAATCAGCCTGATGGGAGTGACGTGGCTCTGCCTCCCCGGATTTAAGTCGTGTGTGCCCCGATTCATTGATCCCGCCTCCAGGAACCTATCCTACAGAAGCAAAAGCTCTGTCAAGGTTGAGATAAAACTGTTCAAACGTGTGCACGTTGAAAGAACAAAATTGTTCCTTGGAGAATATGGAATAATATTCAGACATTAAGGAGGAGGTAGATCATTGGAAGGCTATCCAGGATGTATGTATTTTCAAGCTTTTTTTTTTTTTTTTTTTTTTTTTTTTTAAAGCAACTTGTAGAATAATATGGATAGTACCGTCCCATGGTGTGTGTGTGTGTGTGTGTGTGTGTGTGTGTGTGTGTTTAAAGAAGTCTAAGCTCAGAAAAACATGGAAAGCTTATTACCTTTTGGGGTTAGAAGGTGAGGTGAAACCATCAGGTTTTATTTTATATACTTCCTTATTGTTTAGGTTGTTGCAAGAGTCTTGTATTTTTATTTTTTAAATATATTTTTATTGATTTCAGAAAGGAAGGGAGAGGGAGAGATAGAAACATCAATGATGAGAACCATTGATCGGCTGCCTCATGCAGGCCCCCTACAGGGGGATTGAGCCCAGAACCTGGGCATGTTCCCTTGACTGAAATGGAATCCAGGACCCTACTGTCCGCAAGCAAATGCTCTATCCACTGAGCCAAACTGGCGAGGGCAATAGTTTTTTTGTTTGTTTGTTTTTAAAAAAAATATTTTATTGACCTTTTACAGAGAGGAAAGAAGAGGGATGGAGAGTTAGAAACATGGATGAGAGAGAAAGCTGTTTCATCAGCTGTTTCCTGCACACCCCCTACTGGGGATGTGCCTGCAAACAAGGAATTGAACCTGGGACCCTTCAGTCCCAAGGCTGACACTCTAGCCACTGAGCCAAACTGGTTAGCGCTAGGGCAAGAGTTTTGTATTTTTAAATAAAATAGCAATGAAAGAGCTTAATGGAAAGAGAGAGAGAAAGAGAGATCAACTATGAAAAAAAATCACCAGTAAATTAATAAGCACCTTAAATTTTTTCTTTATGAATTGAATGTATCATCCATAACTGTCTTACTGAAAAATTGTACTCTGTCCCAGGCACTTTACATGCTATCTCTGTAATTCTCCCTGTTTCTTAAAGAGGTGGGTGTGATTCCCATTTTGCAGATTTGGAAACAGACTCCAGGTTGATTTGTTCAGTCACTAAGCTACTAGATATTCAAACCCAGGAGCCAGTATTCAAACCCAGGTCTGTTTGACCTCAGAGCCCACGCTCCCTCCACGGTCCTGCGCTTCCGAAAGACTTAGAAAAAGAAGCTTCCAGCATCTTATTTGACCACCACTCCCCTTTCTCCCTTTTTTATTAAAAACTTCAAATTGAAGAATAGTCCTTTTTGACCCACGTTCATTTTTAACTGAAAAAGTCCAACCAATTCACATCAAATTTTGAGATCATTTATGCAAGTGAAGTTACAGTAATTAGGCCTGTTGATTTAGATTCCCTTACTCTGGAGTAAGTGTAGAACAAGAGTCCAGAACTATAAACCTCAAATACACAATTTTTATTTACTGCTTTACCCTCTGGAAATTTTCAGGAAAATGAACTTTTGACTCATGAAGTTTATCTTGACTCATGAGATTGTTTTTAAGCTCAAATATGATTTATGATAAGCAGAATGCCCTACCTCTGTTCCTCTCCTCCAAACCAAACTAATGATACAGACTGGAATTGTCCTGAATAGTAAGCAATTACTCAGTCACTTACAATGTATAGTTTTTGGAATTATTCACCTACTCTTCCTGGAATAAATTTTTTTTTCTTTTGTGTTTTAAATGTTGCAGCAGTTGTTAATATCACATTTTCATTAAAAAGTATAAAACAATCTCTGTAGGGTGTTGGCCGGCAATGTGAATTAACTAGAAAAAGCTGACTTGTAGAAATTATTTTGAAATGAGACATAATTTTTAAATTGTGAATTTGATTTCCAAGACATTTTAATCGAATTTGTTGAATAGATACAAAACTTTATAAAAACATTTTTTGTTTAATATAATAATTACCCAACATTCTGTATTTAAATATGATTTTGTTGGAACTTTCTACATTAAAGTGAGAGAGAGAGAGAGAGAGAGAGAGAGAGAGAGAGAGAGAGACAGACACACAGTTAATGGGACATCAAATATCTCCACTTTGAAGTATGTGTTGTGAAATTTGCTGATCATGTGCTGTGTAAGTGTAAGGATTGGAAAAGAATGTGTCCTTGTGTGCATTCATAATTTATTCATATTCTTGAAAATCGAATGCTTGCAAAGTTGGATTAATAAGTTAAAGCTTGTGTTATCTGTAATACACATGGGTAGGCACTAACATTGACACAGGAGTTTCTATTTCTTGGTAATAATCTTGTATTAATTTTATTACAGGGGAAGGAAAAAGAATTCCCATATTTCATTATTGATATCATTGCTTGAAAGGGAAATTTTAACTTCTTATTTATTTGGCTTATTAGCTAATTTGAGAGGTCTTTATCACCTGCATATAATGAATGTCTACAAGGATTCTGAGATAACTTGATCCACATCTTATGATACATATAAGCACAAAGATTTAAAGTTTTAGCGAAGTGATAAGATCTTGTTTTTAGTGGTCAGGTGTTTTTAAATGATTAATTTAAAAAGTTGTCTAGACTTACTTTATTCAGTTCACTAGTTTGAATGTACTTGATTTTGCTGGTCATTTTAGCCAGGAACTGGAAATTAGTCTGTTTCTGTCTGCTAGCTTTATTATTACCATTATCTCATCCATCCATGATTACAAATTTTAAACTGGCAAGTGCAATATAGCAAGAGGCAAAATAAAATTACACCCAGCCATTTTTTGAAAATTAGCAACTTAAAATAATATTAAGAGTTAATAAAAGATTACTAAACTATTTTCCCCTTGCTAATTGTTGCGATTTTAGCCATAACATTAACTTTCATAGTTTTTCCTGTAGCTCTCAATCCCCCAAACTTGAGAGCATTTAATTGACGGACTGATCAATTGATCCCAACCTTGCAGATTTTAATTTAGTAAATGTGGTGTGGGGATCAGAAATCTCCATTTAACAGTCAATTGGGGGATTTTGAGAAACAGTCCCAACACCCAAATCTGTTTTTGAGGATTTATTTCCTCATTTTAGAGGTGAATATTGTTTATTTGACTTTTGATAGTTTTTTTTTTTTTAAGGAGCTAAGAGTACATCATAAAATCATCAAATTTATCTTCATGAAAGCGTGACAAACATTAATAAATATATATTAAACTATGCATTAGTGATTTTATTCAGTTTTAGGGGCGAGGTAGAGGCTTGGTAGAGTATTGTTATTTCATATCAATATATACACCGTGTCTCTCTTTTGGTAGACTATAATGGTATAAGTAATAATATTTCTTTTTGGGGTTCTCCAACAATATTCCCCCTTTAAGACAGATGTTAAATAATTTTGTTAAGAGTAATTTTTTCAGCATCGCATTTCCTTCTCTGCATGGCATGTATCATTCATCAGTTTTCTTTGGAAAAATGATAAGATGAATTTTACATGAGTTGTTAGGAAGGAATACTAAAACTCTGGCCCAGCTCTGTGTGGTTCACGAAAGCTTGTCGACTAACACTGGTGTATTTCCTGACTCTGCTTATGTCCTCTTCCAAGTAAATGTTTTATGTTTGGTTTTTATTGGTATATGTTTATGGAGGAACATTTACTTCTTGGGAAACAATAAATAGAATATACTTTTTTTCTGTTTCTCCTTTTTTAAAATTAGGAATCAAGTACTGGAAATGTTTGATCATGCTTATGGCAACTATATGGTAAGTAGAAAGCTTATTTTTATGTACCATTCATGTGAACAAATTATTTTGTGAACATAGTCATGGGAATTTTGAAACCTGAATTAGTAGCACATTAAAATTTTTTTTTTTTAAATCAGTGCAAATGTAAGCTAACAGAGTATTCCTGGTAGTGGTTCTTAGAGAACCAACTTATTGAATAGGAAAGAATAAGTTGAATTACATTATGAAACTGTATTTAAACTGCTTTCTTTGATGCTATCAACGATGTTTATTGAGTGCTTTGCATAGCTATGTATTGTGGACATAAACATGAATAAGACGTTATTTCCGGCATTAAAGGAAATTACTTTTTAAAATAAATAAATAACCTATTTTCAGTAATACTTGTAGTCTCTGTCCAAATTATGTCCCTCATGATGGGCTTCGATTTGAATATATTTTGCTTTCTTATACACTGACCCATAATGTTTTAAAATGTCTTGGTGCTTACTTGAGGTGAAATAGCACTTTCAGTTTTTCAAGATGAAAAAGTTCTAGAGATCTTTTGCACAACAGCAAATTTTAGAGCTCAAAAGAAAAATGTATGTGTAATTTTGTAGAGTTCAATCAAATTATTCTGAGAATTACTGCTTATGACCTTGTTTTTACACCTTAAAAAGCAGATCTTCTTTTATGATAAGGCCTATAAAAATGTAGTTGGGAAAAGTTTGATGAAGAACTAACTTTAGTTCATTCTGCTTTTAAGTATTTTTCATGGGATTCTATGAATCCATTTTTCATTACTCAGATATCTTCATATACTAATGTTATAATATCTAAGTATATATACTTTTTCATTTTTGTATTTTGAAACATATCATTTTTATATTTTTAAATATGTATTATATTTGATGATCCTTGCTCCCTTTTATATTGAATAATTTTAAGAGTACATATTGAGTTCTTAATGTTTTTAGAATATGATGTTGATGAAATTATGTATACTCATTAAATTCACTTCTTAAGATCTTAGTCATTTCCTTAACTTATTTTTTCAAAATTATTTATTTAAAAAAAAACCGGTGCTCTTGTTAGAGTGGCACACATAGGGCAGCTTGATTGCTCTACATGCAAAATTGACGTCAAGAGATTTTGGAAGCATAATATTTTGGTATCTGGGCAGCTGGTGACTGTTGGTCCTGGAAATCTGTGTGGGGGAGGGGGAAGGGGATTATTTATCCCTGATTAATTCAGTTTGGGCAAAGCATAATTTAACAAATCTAGGCTAATGGTTTTGAGGTGGTCAAGTGGATCCATGCTACACTCTCAAACCTTAGCCATCTCATAAATGCATACTTTTGGATCCAAAGTTAAGTAAAATGGCATATAGCTGCATCTACTCAATACATCTCATTGTGAAGAGTATCCTTTCTTTATGAAGCACAGTATCTTTAATATCTTGTCACTTATTATGTAAATAGTAGAAAGTTTTATTACATACTTATTATAGAATGCACTTAAGTAGGTTTGTGACAGAGCAGGGATTGAGGGCAGCTGTTGGATCCTCACTGGGTTTCTGTTACAATTACCCACCTACAAGATATAAAGGAGAGGAATTTCAGCTCCAAAGACTGGGAACTACTGCAATTAACATTCCCCTCCATTTTTTCTGGTAGAGGCCCACCATCTGCAGTCTGTGCAATGCTTATTTTTAAACTAGGGGCCCAGCACGTGATTTGAAATGGTGCAGCTCCACCCACTCTCGAGATGCTGGTCCCCTTGAAGCAGCCACTACTGCTGCTATCAGGCCCTCCCCCAGCACAGGCTTCTGGAGGCTCCTGCTGCCCCGCCCCTGACATTGCATGTGCAACCTCCTCCTGTCCGGTCGACCTGTTACAGCCTCCCGGTTAATTAGCATATTTAGATAGATGGATGGATGGATGGATGATAGATAGATGTTTAACTGTTTTTAGCATGAGTGAATCTTACAGTGTACCTGTGTTATACTCATTCAATTTATATGAGTTTTGTAACCCAGGATTTAGTCTAGAATTTACACTTCCCCTTTTCAGGTTCTCAATGAACATGAAAGAGTCCTAAAATACTAAACAGAGAGCAAGAGCTCTGTGTTTGTTATTTGAAATCAGTTGAGTTTTTTTCCCCCCAAGTTTTTATACTCAGAAGCACTATCAGCTTGCTGTAGAGAAGAAAGGAAGGGGTTTGGAGTGAGGTGGGTTTGAGTTCATATCTCATCTCAGCTATTTAATAGCTTGGACCTACATAGATCATTTTAACCCTTCTGAGCAGTGTCTTCCTATGTAAAATAGGGATAATTGCAAAGGGTATAAGATTATAGAGTATGAAATTTATGAAAACAGGGACCATTTTTAATAAATTCATCTTTTATATGTTCTGTGTCTAGCATGATGCCTGGTCTGTATTTACTTATTGCTTTTTTTTTTTTTTTTTTTTAAAGAACAGAATTGAATTCTTGTGAAGAGGCAATGAAAAGTGCTTAATTTTTACAGGTTATTGTGATATATCTTTGCCTTTTAAATTCAAATATACCATTTAATAAACTTCATTAAAAATACACGTTTATGGTGAATTGGGGGATATATAAGTCTTAGTAGTCAGTTGCCTACTGTGCTAAAATATAAAAATGGCTAGCACATGGTAGGCTTTTAATAAATGTTGAAAGCTTTGCATTTGCCACTCATTCTTTTTAATATTACTCTCCAGTGTAGTCTATAATTAGAGCAGTTCCTTTGTACTTCCTTGGTTCCCAGGTAAACAGTGGTATTTTCCAAAGACAGGTAATAGAATATGGTAAGAGTGAGAACTCTGGAAATGGAGCAGGACACCGTGAAGTGGCTCTGCCACCTACCAGCCGGGCTCTGATCTTCCTGTGGCTATTGCCTCATCTTTCTGAAATGGTTTGCTTGCCTCACAATGTTGTAAGGATTAAACAAGTTAGTACAAGTGCTTAGAACTAGTGTCCGGCAAACAGGAAGCACTGTCTTAAATTTACTGCTGCTCCAGCCACTGCTGCTACTATCACTACTGCTGTCATTCCTCCTTCTCTGCCTGAGATTGGAATTGCTCTCCAAAAATTCCTCTAGGCTCTAACTCATAACTTGTTCCCTGGTACGTGGAACGTTCTTAGAACATACACATTATTTCCTATTTAGGCATGTACCTTTTGAGGGCATTTTTTTCCTTTCCTTTTCTGTTAATACTTTTTTCTGTAACCGTGCTCTGCCAGCTTTAAATAGATTACTACATCTCTGCTATCCCTTGGTGTTACATCCAGGAGTTTTCTGATTTTCTCAGTATGGGCATAAATATTAACATTATACCAGCTATGCTTGACAAATCTATAGCCCCAGTCAAGCTGTAGCTTATCCACAGTGAATTGCACAGCTGGCTTTCTCTTTTCCCTAAATAACATGAAATTTGATTGTTTTGGCAGTTCTTGTGTACCCTTATGTAACCCCAGACTACAGCGACTTTAGGGCTTCTGTTAGCATGTGCTCAGTATTTGTGCTGAGGTCAGCTTGCAGATTAATTTAGATGACAAAATGACATGTATTTAGGCCACCGAACGCAGAACTGTTTGGGACCTGTGCTCTGACTGATCCTTGTCTTCCAGTATTTTTCCTTCTACTGTAGACAACTCAAACTGTTAGAAGCAAAAACTGTACTTTGGTGGAGCTCTAAACATTGCAAATAGACTCTAAGAGAGTTGGAAAGCACATTTTAATTGCTAGAATAATATATAATAACTACTTCTACGCTTGATTTTGAGAGACACAGTTCAAAGAAACATCTTTTTAAAAATATATATATTTCTTTATTGATTTCAGAGAGGAAGGGCGAGAGAGAGAGAGAGAGAGAGAGAGAGAGAGAGAGAGAGAGAGAAACATCAATGATAAGAGAGAATCATTGACCAGCTGCCTCCTGCACACCATCTACTGAGGATCAAGCCCGAAACTCAGGCATATGCCCTTGACTGGAATTGAACCCACAATCCTTCAGTCCGCAGGCCGACACTCTATCCGTTCTATCCAAGCTGGCTAGGGTCCTTGTAAATTATTTTATTTCAGTTAGTGTATAATTAATTTCTGACTGCTGTTTTTTCATGTCTTTGACATTCTCACAAAGACCCTTGAAAATCTCACTTAAGTCCCTAGAAGCTTCCATAAAGGTCCTCAAGTAAAAACGGGGCTTTTGAACTCTGTATCTAGTAGTTTGTTTGTTTCCATTTCTTTCATTTGTGATATGTTTGTCTCCCCATTTTGGTTGCTTCCCTGTGATTGTTTCTGTTAGGTAGAGCTGATACATCTCCTTGAGTTGGTAGAATGGCCTTGTGTAGTAGGTGTCTTATAGGGCCCAGAGACTCAGCCTCCTTAGTCACCTGAGCTGGGCACTCTAGGTGCATCCCTGTGTGGGCTGTATGCAGTCTTCTTGTAGTTGAGCCTTGATTGCTTTTGGGGTCAGTGGGAGGAATTAACTTCCAGGCCATACGCTGTGAAGACCAGCTGTGACTACAGTGGGAAGCTGCTGTGTAGGAGATACCCCTATGGTGCAGGACTTGCTTCAGTGGGACTTTGGTGCTCACTGAGTCTGCCCCTTGAATGTGTCACAGTGGATGTGTAGAGTTGTAATCTGGTATGGTCTGAAGCTGTCCACCAGGTGCACCAGCTTTATGGCCTGCAGGGAGGTGCAAAGTCAGCCACTGCATGGGACCACCTGGCAGAAACTACAGAGACATCTGTAGATGCCTGCTGTTTGTATTGGTTTGGAAGTGCCCAGGCAAGGCATAGCTGTGAAGCAAGGCAGGTTGGTGCTATTGCTGCATCTTGGGCTTTTTATTGATAGGTTTGGGGCATGCTGACACCAACTACAGCTTGTTTGAGAGATTTTAGCAAAGTCTGAAGCCTGAGCCCTTCATATGGAAAAGCTGCTGCAAATAACTTGGGTGGGACTACAAATTGGATGGGGCGGGACCTCTGGGAATATAAGGGCAGAGTGAACTG